GTTGCCTCTCTTTCTTGACCCCACTCCTGGTACCATGTAATGTTCTTTATAATTAAAAGAACACTGAGTCAGGTCTTCATGCTAACTTCTGTTAGCTCTTTATTAACAGCTTGCTACTTGCTCGACTGTTACATAACTTATGGTCCTCGAGCGCCCTCTAGTGGGTAGCTTCGTAATCAGTATCAATACACCACCTAGCTTTTTGGGAACCATTTGAGTTTGCATGCAGTTTATTTGGTATTGAACAGTTTGCTCGTCCAGTTAGCTTAGCCTCAGCTTCGCTATGGCTACTTCTGTCTCTGCTTCTCCATCTCCTATCTCTTTCTCTCTGTGTCAGATGTTTAGTTACTCCTCTGCTTCCTTTAGTGATAATGGTACGTGTAATAAATATAGCATTTTTGTAGCTTTGAAGGCAAGGGTGTCGGAATTGGAGGCCCAGCTCCACACTGTTGAAAAGCCCGTAGATAGCCGTAGCTACTTGGCTAGTGTGGGGCTAATTAGCTCAGAACCACTGTCCTCCAGCAGAACCCGAGCAGCCGGGACCTCAGGCCGGCTGGGTGATGTACGCATTGGCAGCTCCATAGTCAGAAACGTGGCATTAGAGACTCCAGCAACCATAGTTAAATGTTTACCTGGGGCCAGAGCGGGCGACATTAAATCTTATCTGAAACTGCTGGCTAAGGATAAGCGTAAATACAGTAAGATTGTTATTCACGCTGGCGGTAACGACACCCCGTTACGCCGATCGGAGGTCACTAAAATTAATGTTGCTTCGGTGTGTAAGTTTGCCAAAACAATGTCGGACTCCGTAATTTTCTCTTGCCCCTGCCTGATCGGACCAGTGACGACATGTTTAGCCACATGCTGTCCTTCAACCGCTGGCTGTCTCGGTGGTGTCCTGAAAACAACGTGGGCTACATTGATAATTGGAAAACTTTTTGGGGAAAACCTGGTCTGATGCGGAGAGACGGCATCCATCCCTCTTTGGATGGAGCAGCTCTTCTTTCTAGGAACATGGCCAGTTTTATTAGTCCTCCATGACTACCCAGGGTCCAGACCAGGAAGCAGAGTCGTAGTTTAACCCACCCCTCTACAGCTTCTGTACTGTTACCCACCCACTACCCCATAGAGACAGTGTCCTGCCCACGGCCAAAATCATACAGATTAAATATCAGGCTTAATAAAGCAAATCATGGAAATCTCATAAATGTTAGAACAAATTCAACTGAGCAGAAAACTAGAAAAATTAAATGTGGGTTGTTGAACATTAGATCCATTTTTTCTAAGACTTTTTTTTGTTTGTTTGTTTGTTTTTTTAACATGTCCTGTCTGGCTGTGAAGCAAACAGAATTGATGTCTGAATGCTGGTACACCACTGAGTCATGTAACAAGTTTTTGGATGTCTTTGTGGACAAGATAAGGGTGACAAGGGCCTCTATTCCACTACTTAAGCATGCCCCCTATGCAGATCTCTGTGTTCCAAAGGCACTGGAGGGTTTTCAACCATTAACTCTTGAAGAGCTTGAGGATCTGGTCATGAGACTTAAGCCAACAGGGGCAGTAACTGATGTTCTCCCGGCAAGGCTACTGACAGAAGTTTTTTTCTGTAGTGGGTGATCACGTACTGCAAATTGTAAATAGCAGCTTGATATCTGGGGAAGTCCCTACTCCCCTAAAGCGGGCGGTGGTACAACCTCTGCTTAAGAAATCAGGGTTGGACCCAACAATCTTGTACACTTACAGACCTGTATCTACACTCCCTTTCATCTCAAAGATCATAGAGAGGGCTGTGTTTATCCAACTGACATCTTTTCTACAGGAATGGGAAATTGGAGAAGTATTTCAATCTGGGTTTAAACCCTTTCATAGCACTGAATCTGCACTGCTTAAGGTCCTTGATGACATTTTATTGGCAAATGATTCCGGTGATGCTGTGGTTCTGGTGCTCTTGGACCTGTCATCAGCCTTTGATACCGTTGATCATAACATCCTAATAAACCGTCTGGAGCGGTCTGTGGGCATTACGGGCCAGGCACTTGAGTGGATAAGATCCTACTTGACTGGGAGGAGCAAGCAGGGGCAGCGGCGAGGTCGCAGCTCCGTCCTGGGACACAGGGCTGCGGTGGAGCCCGGCATCTCTCCCCACGCCGTGGGCCAACTCCGGAAGAGCACGCAGCCAGGCGGGTGCCCACGTAACTGGAGCAATCAGGAAGCGACTCCCCGTCCACTCTCCCACTGGCCTCCGGGAGGGTGGAGAGGAACGCCGAGGCAGAAGGTCGGGGACGCCGTCTTCGGCAAGGCGGAGCTGGGGCTGGAGAAGGAGATGCCGGCCAATAGTCGGCGGAGAGGAACTGGAACAGATACTTCCATGGGAGAATCTCCCCACTGGATCCTTCAGAAGGTCGAGTCATTCTGTCACAAGCGTGCCTGGTGAGTGGAGCGGAGGTAGGATCCAAACGCGGGGAGGAAGAAGGCGAACAGGTAAGTCCGTTTAACATATGTTTATTAAAGACACACGCTGGACACTGAAACGATGACTCGACATGGAACACAGAACAGAAGGGGTTTAAATACACGAGGAGCGGGAGCTATGGTGATTGGGAAACAAGAGGCAGGTGGGAGCAATTAACGGAGACACAGACTAAAACATAAGAGAAGACAGGACAGAGTGTGACAGAATACTGTTTATTTTAATGTTTTTCTCTAGTGTAAGTGGCACTGTGTATGATTTATTGTGTAACAGGAGATATTGAATTATCCCGCTGGAAGTCCGCTTCCGTCGGAAGCAGTTTTGATCTCTCGGCTAACCAACCCGGTCGAGCTTACTAGCATTAAATCGCTAATAACTAAAGTTTGACACTTTGCAGAGCGTCTCTGCACACACAAACTGCAAAACGCTATAGTCCGAATATAACGACAATGCTCACGAACGTTAAGTTGCTCGGGCTGATCCAATCCGGCTGGATTGGATAGTTAAAACCTGGCCGCTCCAGGCCCGCGCTAGCTTAGCATAACAGTGCTAACTAGCCACCCGGTAAGACAGCTGTATACGTGTGCGACAACCTGTCAAGCCATTTTGACGCAGCGTTTCTGCGTCCCAAAATCCGCTACACCTAAGAGTAAAACGCTGAACTCGTTCGTGCAGTTTTAGCAGTGTTTTATTCACTTTTGTTTTTAAAGCTTCACGGTGACGTCATCGATCGCCGCCATTTTGAAAGAGTCCGGACGAATACACGGTGACGTCAGCACCCCGCCCACACCCACCAACAGCGCTCTGCCGCCATCTGGTGGATTTTTCTGTTCATTACATTCATTTTGGTGAAAAAGTCATTTTTATTTTTAAAAGAATGTCTGAAGAAGAGATATTAACCCTTCACTCACTGGGAAGACAGGTGATTGATGCAGTGGAGTCTGTGGCGGCTACGCTGAAGGTTTGCAGGAACACCAAGCTAATGACCTGATGAAACTATTGCAAACTAAGAGTGCAAGTCTGCCCATCTCAAGTGGACCTCCTAAACCAGCTATCCGCATAGAGTTTTGTGTAATTCATACTCTGTCCAGGAGTATTAATTATACAGTGTTTGTAAAAACACCTCAGACATCCCTGGCATGTACTTATAGTTTCAGATGAAAAACCAAATTGTCGGACACGCTGTCTCATCTGCCTCTTTTCTAAACTCACGCAAATATGTCAGTAATAAAACCGATTGAATGCCACTTTTTGTGGACTCTCTGAGTTTCCAAGGAGTCTGTGACAAACGTTCTTTTTCATTGATCGACTAATCTCACACCTGAAACAATGCATTCTTAATAATCTGAAGCTTTAACAATGTTGTAGTAAAACACAAGGTATAATCATTTCTTATTAATATAATGTTGCAGCACTGAAGCAGCAGAAAAATTAGATTTTGCCTCCACACCGACGGTGCTTTCCGTGGGTGCGGGTCGCCCTCCAATCGCTTCCGTCTTCCCAAATTTCCAGAAACCAGATATCCTCCCACTCCAATAAGAAGAAATCCAGTGATCATCAGGCCGAATATCCACACGTCTTCGATATCCTCAATGGACAGCTGGGAGAGGCATATGATCTTCCACTCCTTCCAGGAATCCAGCCTATACCCCGCCGGATGTGTCCACTGCGGGCATGTGGGAGCCCCCTGCTCCATTCTCATTGTTGAAAAATCTTATCATTCGTGTTGAATGACCAATTTATCAAATCCATGGTTAAAAATAGGGTTTTTCAGAAGAAATGCAAAGAAGTGCTCTGTGGGCAGACAGGACAAAGATCCTTGGGAAAAAAAGATAAGGGAGCAAAAAGAGAAGCGTCTGTACTCTGCGAGTGCCAGGAAGAAAGATCGTGAAGATTTGTTCGTGCCAGTGTTTTCCTCTGTGGGGCCCTCTGCCTCGGGCGTGTTGGTCGACTGTGGCGGCCTGGGCACACCTCGGGGAGTGCTCAGGCGGTGGTGGGGTTTTTCGCTCTACCTCCCTGGGAGCCCTGGGTTGATGCCTTGGCTGCTGCCATCGATTGACTCCTAACGAGGTGTGATGGTGTGTCATCAGTTACCTAACCCATCTGAACTCAGCCTAGTGTTAGCTTATGATGTTTTATTTTATTTATTTTTTTAAGTTTTGTGTGTGTGTGTGTGTGTGTGTGTGTGTGTGTGTGTGTGTGTGTGTGTGTGTGTGTGTGTGTGTGTGTGTGTGTGTATTTGTTGTTCGTGTGTGTGTGATTGTGTGTGTTTGTGCGTTCCTTAGGAAATGGGTTGTGGGATTGGGGGGGGGGGGCAGATGTCAGTTTTATATTTTTGGGGAAATTATGTGATTATGGGTTATATGGGGTGACTTTAACCTGTAAAGCACTTTGAGCTGTACTTTTTGTAAATGGAAAGTGCTGTACAAGTGATGTTTGATTGACTCATTGACTGAGGAGGTGATGCACCTCACCTGTGGTGAAGTTTGGATGGTGGTGTGTGTCATGCAACTATTAGTTTGTTTCTCACCTCTACAAAGTAGAAACATGGAAGTAGAGTCAGACTGTCTTTTGGAGGTTTCTTCATCTTCTCCGTGGAGGATGTCATCGTCATCATCATCATCCTCGCCAACCTGTAAGACACAAGCCCACAACTTGCTTATTCAAGGGAGTCAGTCCATCTGACAAATGGTAAATGTCTGACAAATGACTGGGGAAAGTTTGGGTTTGTTCTGGAGCACATGTTGAAATGCAAAATAAACGTTACATGCATGGTGCTTTAACTTAAGTCTCTGAGGTCCTCATTATTTTGGATAGAAACACAACATGGTGTCAGAGAAGGGATTTTCTTTTTTATTCTTTTCTTTTTCATCCACCAACAATGCTGAAACAAAGTAGCTCAGTCGAGTGAGTGCTGTTTTGACTGAACGCCGTTACAAGCTGGGAGCCAGCCATGGAGCAGTTCAAGCAGCCTGCGCCGCTACAGCTCACAGGGAATTTGAGTGAAAATTGGCAGAGGTGGGAGCAGAGGTTCAAGCTTTATATGACAGCCACGAGAGCCGATGGAAAAGATGAACCGGTAAAAGTTGCCATTCTGCTACACACGGTCAGGGAAGGGGCTCTTGAGATTTATAATACCCTTGATTGGGGCAGCAGTAGCTCAGGTGGTAGAGCAGATTGCCTCATGATCGGAGGGCTATAGGTTCGATTCCAGCTTCCACCACAGGTATTCTGCTGTTGTGTCCTTGGGCAAGACACTTTACCCAACTTGCCTGTGTTGGTGGTGGTCAGAGGGGCCGACGGTACAAAATGGCAGCCTCGCCTCTGTCAGACCGCTCCAGGGCGGCTGTGGCTACGTAGTAGCTTACCATCACTGGCAGTGTGTGAATGTGAGAGTTCACGCAAGCGTCTTTGAGTGTCCTAATAAAGCGCTACATAAGTTTGATGATTATTATTATTATTTGATGTTGAAATTGATGATGGCGAAGATGGGCCAACATTATAAGGTATTTTGGATGCATTCAAAATGTACTTCATGTTGGAAAAAAAATATCGTCTGTGAACGACACCAGTTCTGGTCTTAGCCACTACCGGAGAGGCTCAGAGTGGACACGTTTGTGACAGAACTACGGCAAAAGTCCAAAAACTGCGAGTTTGGGGCGAGTGAAAATTATATTATCAGAGACAAGCTAGTTTTTAGCATATCTAATATTTGCATGAAGGAGAGACTTTTAAGAGAAACAGCCTTAACTCTAGATAAAGCCGTGGATATATGCGGAGCAGCAGAAGCTGTAAAGTCACAGATATGCGTCATGGGAATGCTGCAGCCAGAAGCGTCAGTACAGACACTGAATAAAGGGGCAGCTACCTCAGAGGAAATGAAAGCCCACATGAAAGAAAGGCACAAAACGCTAAACAAAAGTCAAGTTCAGAAAAATGTTGCATGCAGAAGATGTGGAGGTACACACAAACCGAGGATGTGTCCAGCATATGGAGCTATCTGTCACAAGGGCAACAAAAACAATCACTTTGCCAAGGCTTGCATGAGTACCAACAGGGAACCCGTAAACAGTTTCAACCTGTTTGAAAGAGATGTGGAGACTATTGGAGCCATGGCATGTGAGGGGTTGAACCACAGTAAGCAGCAGCCCGATGATGCGTGGTACATGACTGCTGAAAAAAAAATACAGCTGTGAGATTTAAACTGGACACCAGAGCAGATGCTAATGTGTCATCTTTAAGTGGCTTTCAGAAAACACTGGGTCCAGTACATTTGAAACCCACTCAGACAGTTCTCATTGCATATGGAGGAACGCGCCTGATGCCAGAGGTAGTGGTGAGGCTCACATGCATGACACAAAGAAAGAGAATGGAGATAATCGAAGTTAAGCCACCAGCCACAAAGGATGATTTGGTCGCAGCACATCAATTTTACTTTACTTAAAAAAAAAATAAAAAAAAAAATTTACTGGCTTTGGTGAGTTTTCTGGTGTGCATGACATCCACACAGATCCCAATGTGGCATGGGTGCAGAAAAATCCCCATTGCTGTGATGGACATATTAAAAACAATGCTGCAGGATCTTGTAGAGAGAGAAGTGTAGCGTTATGAATATTATAATTGTCTGCCCTTAACAGCTGCCCCTTCACACAGTAACAACGTGTTGGAATCGCCAAGGTCGGACGCTTGTTTCAGTATGTTTACATTCCAGGAGAAGAGACAGAAGAAGAGAAGAAGAACTTTTTCCATTAATTAATCAAAGTACTTTATTCGTGATGAAGCTAATCAGAGCATATGTTGATCATTAATAATCAGGTGAATGATCTGTGAAATAAAGATGTCATGAGTTATGTGTTTAATGAATAAACAGGACTGCACCAGACAGACTGATCTACATTACCATGGAAACGCATGACACATTGTTCTCAACCAATCAGAACTTTCATCTGTGGTAGGGCAGAATCTGGGTTGTTTAATGAAAGTCGTCCAATCCGGTTTACTAAGATTTGTAAACAATTAGGGGATATAAAACAAGGCAACGCCATTTTATACTCAGTTCCATTTTAACCTCAGTTCCGTTCAATTGGAGGTCCTAAGGATTTCCATTGTCATCATTAAGAAAGTTACAGGCTGGCCAGCTGTACTTTCCTATTTTAAGCTGAGAACTGTCAAGCTGGAAATTTCTGTCGTTTGAACAACAAGACGACGGTTCCTTCACAATAAGAGCTGAACCCGCCGAGATCTGCTACTACTACCGGAGCTATCCGTAGACTGGTTTGTCGTGCTGCACTACTGTTTCATCAGCCCAGCACCAAGGGGGGTTCTAGGACCTGACACTCCTGATCTGACCGCGAGAGACTCCATAGGTACGTGGTCACGGCACAAAATGGCGGCTCATGTCATCAGCTTCTGAAGCTTCGTGGTAGCCTAGTCATAACCAGATTCGCTACGTCAGCCTAGAGATTCTGAACAAAACAAACACACACACACCAACACGAAACATCCAAATCCATATGCATCCATCATTGAGACAGTTCTGGTAGATTGTAAGAATTTATAATTATAGAAATTAAAGATTCTTAAACGATCCCAACTCTCTCTTTTCTTGTCTCTCAGTCAATACAGAGTGTTTAAGTAAACTCCCTGGTGATAAAAACAACCTCTTCTGATTAATTACTTAGATCTAATTACAGTGTATACATATACAAAATCAGATCACTACAGAAGTCATAGCTCCAGTAACAGAACAAAAAAGTCAGTCAGCAATCTTGTTGTCACAAAGAAAAAAATGGCTCTTTGAGGGTGTGTTTGGACCCTAGGGACCCAAATGAAGCAATAAAAATGGAACATTTCTTCATACCCATTCCAGATGAAGTTCTATCCAAGTTGTGAGGAAAATCCATATTCACCATTCTGGATGAGAAGGGTGGATACTGGCAATTAAAACTTGATGAGCCATCATCCATGCTGTGCACATTCAGCCCTCCATGGGGGAGGAGGTTTTGCTTTAAAAGACTGCTTTTTGGCATCAAGTCTGCCAGTGAAGTTTTTCAACAGAAGAACTTTTAGGCATTTGGAAATATAGAAGGGGTGCACATCTTAGCAGATGACATGATACTAGTCGCAGCATCGGTTGAAGAGCATGATGTCATCCTGAAAAGGGTGATGGAAACAGCCAGGAAAGCAAACATAAAATTCAGCAAGGGAAAAATACAGTCCAGGGACTCCCAAAGTGTGGTGCGCGCACCCCCGGGGGTGCGCGAGCTGCAAAGTGTAATGGCTGCGGAGCTCAGAGAAGTCTGTCATATGTCACCATTAGTGTAGCCAGAAACTCATTTGTGGGTGGGCCTAAGAAAAAGTAAGTGGGCCCAATAAATGTAATTGAAAACAAGTATATTTTTGCGCGTGCGTGTGTGTGTGTGTGTGTGTGTCCTCCACATGTGCCCTAGCTTCATAATAACAATGCGCCGAGCTTCAGCACTCTGGCCTGCGCACGCCGATATGTTCCGTATTTGATCATTTTTAACGGTGTTGGAGGAATCTGAAGGTGGCGAGTCATTCTGGCAGATTGTAATAATAATAATAATAATAATAATACATTTTATTTCAAAGCGCCTTTCAGGACACCCAAGGTCACTTTACACAAAACACGTAATAAAATACAATAAAACAATAATAAAACCCAAAGAAGAAAAAACAGAGAGAAACATTTCAATAAAATCAGAGGTTGTAGGCAGATTTAAACATATGTGTTTTGAGTTTTGATTGGAAAAGGGTAAAACTGTCGATGTTCCTGATGTCTGGGGGAAGAGAGTTCCAGAGTCGAGGAGCAGAGCGGCTGAAAGCTCTGCTCCCCATGGTAGCAAGACGGGCAGAAGGAACCGCAAGATGGATGGAAGAAGAAGATCTGAGTGAACGGGATGGGGTGTGAATACTTATAAGGTCTGAGATATATGGAGGAGAGAGGTTGTGGATTGCTTTGAAGGTATGGAGGAGAATTTTGAAGATGGGCCTGAATTTAACTGGGAGCCAGTGGAGCTGCTGGAGAACCGGCGTGATGTGGTGAAAGGAAGGGGTTCTGGTGATAATACGGGCTGCTGAATTCTGGACCAGTTGCAGTTTATGAAGGAGTTTGTTGGGGAGACCATAAAGAAGTGAATTGCAATAGTCGATACGGGAGGTGACGAGGCTGTGGACGAGAATGGCGGCAGTGTGAGGGGTCAGTGAGGGACGAAGACGGTTTATGGAACGTAGATGGAAGTATGCTGACCGAATTATGTTATTAATGTGAGCCTGAAAAGAAAGGGAGCTGTCGAGAATGACACCCAGACTCTTGACATGAGGTGAGGGGGAGACTATGGCGCTGTCAATAGTTAAAGAAAAGCTGTCAGATGTTGAGAGGGTGGAGTTAGTGCCAACTAGAAGAAGTTCAGTTTTATTGCCGTTGAGTTTGAGGAAATTAGAGGTGAACCATGATTTGATTTCAGAGAGGCAGAGTGTAAGGGAGGATGGTGGGAGAGTTGAGTTGGGCTTACTGGAAATGTAGAGCTGGGTGTCATCCGCAAAGCAGTGAAACTGGATATTGAATTTGCGGAAGATTTTGCCGATAGGGAGGAGATATACTATGAAGAGG